CAAGCTCAAGCACCTTGCAGTCAAAGTAGTCATTGCGGAGCCCAAAGTCTCCAACCTTGTCTCTCAGATCTATAATCTCCTCCTTCAGCTTGCTCTCATGTGCCTTGTAGTAGGCCTCCATGCGGTCATAGCCCTCATGCTCCACACAGATGGTCTCCTTGAGTACTCCCTTCTTCTTCTCTTCCTCTAGGAAGGCCTCGTTAGCCTGGAATAGCATGTCCCGATACCACGGTTCTGTGACTCAGCCTCCATGATGTACCTGTCCTAGCAGAGGATGTACTGTCTGGACACCTAAAGGCAAGGGCCCTCCCCGGCGTAGACCTACCTCCTGGTACTCTGGGTAAGGTCCAGGGCTCAGGGAAGCAAGCGGTACGGTCCCCTCCTGAGGTACTCATGGGTGTCACGCATCACACGGCGAAGGGCCGAACGCGAAATAGACTAAACACAAGCTGCGATGGGGGTCTCCACCTATAGCTCCTGGAAGGCATGCAGCTTTGGCAGGGTCTCACTCATAGCAACCCTGAGGTGGATGACGATGTGGCCCTACAGTCCATTGGGTCCAGGCTCGCCATGACAGACGTACTCGACCTGCTCGGTAGGGACACCAAGCTCCTCAAGGACGTCGTAGAGCATCTAAGCAAAACCCCGGTAGCTCATACCATCAACGGGAAGCTCAACTACTGGAGCCATCTGCAAATCGGTCCATAAAAAGGGAATCAGCAGACTACAAAAAGATAAGCCATGCATAAAAAGATGCAAGGTCGGTACATATAACCGAAGAAAGCAAGTTTTGCTCCTATTTCTATCGTCCAATCCTAAGGGTCTCATCCTAGGATCAACCTGGCTCTGATACCAAACTGAAACAATCCCTATTTCCTCGAAGGGAAATCCACAGATTTGAAGTATAACGTGATAGTTCCAGGTGATCATCCCATCACATTATCAAATAACAGTCGATATCACAGTCATGCATCGAATACCTATTTTAAAGAGAGTACAAATAGCAACGTTTACTCATTATTACATCACCACTTGGTGGAATCACTCAGAGCATTTATAGAGAAGTACAAGGTGGCAAAGAAGACTGCAAAACGAGCGGTGAGTGAGGCAAAGGGGCGGTCCTATGAGGATCTTTACCAACATTTGAGTACAAAGGAAGAAGATAAGGACATTTATAGGATGGCTAGGGCTCACGATAGGAAGACAAGGGACTTCAACCAAGTTAAGTACATAAAGGATGAGAGGGAGCAGCTCTTGGTGAAAGAGGATGAGATCAGACATAGATGACAAGAGTATTTTGATAAATTATTCAATGGTGAGAACGAGAACACCATCGTTCAGCTAGACGACTCATTTGATGACACTAATAAGTGCTTTGTGCGGAGGATTCAAGAATCAGAGGTCAGAGAAGCCTTGAAAATGATGAAAGGGGGCAAAGCGATGGGCCCTGATGGTATCCCAATCAAGGTGTGGAGATGTCTCGGGGATATAGCTATAGTATGGCTAACCAAGATATTCAACAATATCTTTCGATCGTACAAGATGCCTGAGGAGTGGAGAAGAAGCATATTGGTACCAATCTACAAGAACAAGGGAGATATCCAAAGTTGTACTAATTATCGAGGAATTAAGTTGATGAGCCACACTATGAAGTTATGGGAGAGAGTCATCGAGCAGCGCCTGCAAGGAATGACGTAGATATCAACAAACCAATTTGGTTTCATGCCCAGAAGGCCAACCACAGAAGCAATCTTCTTAATAAGATAAGTTATGGAGCGGTTTAGAGAGCAGAAGAAGAACCTTCACATGGTTTTCATTGACTTAGAGAAGGCTTATGACAAGATACCAAGAAATGTTATATGGTGGGCTTTGGACAAACATAAAGTCCCATCAAAGTACATGACCCTCATCAAGGACATGTACAACAATGTTGTGACTAGTGTTCGAACAAACGATGGTAACACAGATTACTTCCCGATTAAAATTGGACTTCATCAAGGGTCAGCCTTAAGCCCGTATCTCTTTGCCTTGGTAATGGATGAGGTTACCAGGAACATACAAGGAGATATCCCTTGGTGTATGTTGTTCGCTAATGATGTAATGTTAGTGGACGAAAGCCAGGCGGGAGTAAATAGGAAACTAGAGTTATGGCGGTAGACCCTTGAGTCCAAAGGTTTTAGATTGAGCAGAACTAAAACCGAATATATAAGATGCGACTTTGATGGAGCTGCATAGGAGGAGGGAGATGTGAGTTTGGAAAGTCAAGTAGTGCCTAAGAAGGATACCTTTCGGTATCTGGGATCGATGCTATAGAGGGATGGAGATATTGATGCGGACATTAGCCATAGAATCAAAGCAGAGTGGATCAAGTGGTGACAAGCTTCTGACATTCTCTGTGACAAGAGGGTACCACAAAAGTTAAAAGGCAAGTTTTATAGAACGGCGATTAGACCGGCTACGTTGTATGGAGCAGAATGCTGGCCTACAAAGATTCGACATGTTCAACAACTGAGCATTGCAGAAATACGTATGTTACGATGGATTTGTGGTCACACAAGAATGGATCGAGTTCGGAACGATGATATACGTGATCGCCTAGAGGTAGCACCAATTGAAGAAAAGCTTGTCCAGCATCGGTTGAGGTGGTTTGGCCATGTCCAAAGGAGACCTCCAGAGGCACCAGTGCATTGTGGAGTCCTAAGCCAAGCTAATAATATGAGGAGAAGTAGAGGAAGACCGAAATTGACATGGTGGAGGCAATAAAAAGAGATTTGAATGCTTGGGATATACCTAGATATCTATATTTGAATAGGAGTGCTTGGAAAGTAGCTATTGAAGTGTCTGAATCGTGACTAGGTGTCTTGGTGGGTTTCAACTTTAGCCTACCCCAACTTGTTTGGGACTGAAAGGCTATGTTGCTGCTGTTGTTGTTGTTGTTGTGCATTTGCTATTTAGTAGTTAGTATAAGTATTAAGTACTCTTTCTGTTTCAAATTATAGTTTATCTAGGCTTTGTTCCAAGTCAAACTTATTTTACTTTGACCAAGCTTGTAGAAAAAAATGTAATAACAACTACAACATCAAATTAGTTTCATTAAATTATCCATGAAATATATTTTGATAGTCCACTTATTTAACTTGTAGGTGTTGATATATTTTTGTATAAATTCAGTCAAGGTTAGTGAAGTTTGATTTAAAGATAAAGCCAAAGTAAATTGTAATTTAGAACAGAGGGAGTATTATACTTTTAAATAGGCCGATAGGTTAGGTTACTTGTCAAATGAAGACAGTGAGTAGAGAGCTCAACATAGGTTTGCTTGAGGGTTGACGGAAAACTTGCTCTGATAATTTTGCATGTGTAAGGCTGTGTGATAGTTCTGGTGGGCCTTCTAGTTATTTAGAACATGGACTTGTGTCAACTTTGGGTATTAACTGTACATGTAAGCTATAGTCTGCTATCTCTTCCTTTTAGAGATATTGGCAAATGGCAAGTTTGAAATTATCTTTTTCCCATTTGGATGAGCTAAGGCAATTAGAATTTATTCCGTCATGTTAGGATGCTGAAATAACCAGAGGTTTCAGCATTTTTAATAGTTCTTGATTGAAGCTAATCCATATAGAGCAATGAATAAGCACTGAGTTGTGCTTCTGCTGCCATAAAATATCAGTCCTTGTTTACCGTATCAGTCCTTGTTTACCGGCCTAGTCTGGATTATGGCCTTATTATTTTATTTCTTGTATGTACATCTGCAACTCTGCAAAGGAGCATCATACTACTGCTCCAAGCATCTATGTAAAAACTGAAATTATTTCAATATTCTAACAGTCAATTTGTTTTTAACCACTTGCAGCTTCTCCATTATGATATCAGATACGTCCCATGCTTTGTGCTCCTGGACAAGCATGGCAGAGCACTAGCGAAGACTGGAGTACCAACCAGCCGGCAGCATGTTATCTCCGGTCTCCATCACCTTCTGAAGATGCAGCAGCCATCTGGACTGGAAGGAAACCAGAGTGCGCCTCCATCATGAAGCCCAAATACTTGAGCAAGATTTGTAATGGCAAAGGAAAATTTCAGAATGTCCATTTTGTTTTGCAAGCGTGAAAATTAGCAACATTGATACGTCAATTCTTTAGCCGACTAGTATTACAGATTGTAGCTGGTGCAAAAGCATTTGATTTTTTTTTCTTTTTGGTTGGGTTTAGCGACCATAGCTTGATGATATCCGCCTTAAAATAGCCTCGGAATTTATCTCTCATAGATCTTGTAGGAGAGGGTTTTTTTTTCATCAGCAGATGTAATGATTCCAGTCAGGCCCGGCCCTGGGGGGTGCGAGCTGTGCATTGGCACAGGGCCCTCGAAGCTAAGGGGCCTAATCCCAGGTATGTACACACTATAAGCTATAGCTGGTATACTCAGGTCCAAAAGAAAATCATATATGTGGCCCAAAAATACTGGAGCGTGTGAGGAAGAGTCCGTCGATTTCACTTCCGCCGCGGCCGCTCTCTTCGTCGCTTTATAGCTGCGTCTTCGCGTCCGGCGTCATTCTTGCGCGTTGTCGTAAATGAAGGGCCCATCTTTCTGGCCAAGCTCCAGGCCCATAAATTGACAGGACCGGGCCTGATTCCAGTTTGGTGTTGGAGTACAAGACACCTACAAGTAGTAGAGCTCGAATATGTGCGAAATATATGGATAAAAGATATGATATGATCGATTGTTATTTCGACTGATGCATAAAAAAAACTGCAAAGTTTTTATCTATTGAGATGGCATACTGTGATCGCAATCTTATATACTAGCTTATAATTTTAAATCGAAATAGATGCGATGACGCTCAAGAAAATGGAACTGAAGAAATGTGTGTGTCCTGAATTCCTGGTGAACCGAGAGTCTTGGAACAGCGATTTTTCCTGGCCGCTCCTCGTTGATCAGACGGACGCCGTGAGTCCATACGGTTATCCTCGCAACCCTCTCCTCTGGCCTCCGCCTCCCCGAACGCGATGGCGGCGCCGCTCGCCCCCATCACTGCCGCGGCGGTGCTCCGCCTCGGGAGCCGAGGCCTCCGCCACCGCCACCACATCCTCCTCGCCTCGCTCCGCCCCTGCTCCTCCGCTCCCCCGCCCCATCGTTCCGCCGTCCCGGCCGCTGCACGCCGGCTCCCAACGCTCCCGCCGCCTCCTCGCCGCCTCGCCCGCACTCTTGCCGCCTCTGCGGCCACGGCCGTCTCCGAGGGCCAGACGGAGTAAGGCTCTGCTCTATTTCCGTTCCCGTCCTCTCCACCCTGCTCGTTACTGCGAAGTTGTAGTCGGAAAAATCCAGTCTTTTGCTTGTACTGCGTTGCAATGTGATTCCGGAACGTAGTATTTGGCGCTCGTGCGAGTACTGGGGATTCTAGTGGAAGTGAAACCTCAAAGTTTGTATGTATATGGCTCAAATGCATGCAATTTGGGTTTAGGCCAAAGGAAGGAGAAGGGAAATTATAGAAAAGAAACGAGTGATTGTTTCTTGGAGTGGTAGAGAGACATCGTGTGATTCACTGTGGTTGGCTGGTACTACTTGCTTCTTATGTGTATCAAAGGGCGAGTTTTCATGTTCCAGTTGTATTGTAAAGATTGCTTGAAATGTGTATTAGTGGGTAGTGTGAATTACTAGGTGGAAATTTCACTAGATTTTGAGAGGAATTGACTGATGCCGTGTGGATCTGGTGCCTCTATATTGGTTGCCTATCTTGTTGTAGGCTTGTTATGGAGTATGGAACTTGCTTGTAGCATGATCACACTCAATAATATTGGTTTTGAATTGATTTTGATTGTTGAAGAACTTTGGAAGTAATGACTGTGGATGTGTTCTATAGGTTGGGCACCACTTTTATGGTTTTTTTCGAAGGTTAATTTTCATGGTACAGTAAGAGGCTGTATGAAAGATGTTAATCAGTGGAAAATTATTTGTTGGGCCATTAGTAAAACTATAAAAACATACGTAAAATAGCCATTCTGTTAGATTATTCATTGATTAGTGATATAAGGAGATATATTTACTATGATTCTTCAGCTTGGTATTGCTTCAAGCAGTTTTGATTTGCCTTTGGTGTTTAAGAAGGTTGCAAACTAGACTAATTGGGTAATTGGCAGTAACTATGCACCAATTCCAAGCTATACCACTTTCTCCCACCATTGGTACTTCTGTTTCTTCTAGCAGCAGATTTAAAAGAGCTGAAAACCGTTGTTGTTCCAATGTACCATGTTGAATTGGTTATCATTGTGATTTTTGTCTGCCTGTGGTGATTCCTACTAGCGTGGAATATAACAATCCTAATGTTTTTGTTTTTTTCTAGTTTAGTGTCTGGCTCAACAACTTCAAGCAAGGGACGCATCTACCACGAGACATATGGTTGCCAAATGAATATAAATGGCATGGAGATTGTGCTTTCTATCATGAAAAATGAAGGTTATGATGAAATTGTCCCTGACCCCGAGAGCGCAGAGATAATATTTATCAACACCTGTGCCATCCGCGACAATGCAGAGCAGAAAGTTTGGCAACGTCTCAACTACTTTTGGTTTTTGAAAAGGGAATGGAAAACTAATGTTGCTGAAGGTAGATCAAAATCTCTGCGGCCTCCCAAGATTGCTGTCCTGGGGTGCATGGCAGAGCGACTGAAGGAGAAAATACTTGATTCTGATAAGATGGTTGATGTTGTTTGTGGACCTGATGCATATAGGGATTTGCCTAGGTTGCTCCAGGAAGTCGATTACGGCCATAAGGGTATGAACACACTTCTATCACTTGAGGAAACTTATGCTGATATCACCCCAGTAAGGATCTCTGACAATTTTTTTTCAGCATTTGTGTCAATCATGAGAGGTTGCAATAATATGTGCTCATTCTGCATAGTTCCCTTCACTAGAGGTAGGGAAAGGTCTCGCCCAGTGTCTTCTATTGTCGCGAGGTTGGTGAGCTGTGGAAAGCTGGTGTGAAGGAGGTAATGCTTCTTGGTCAGAATGTTAACAGTTACAATGACACTTCTGAAGTAGAAGAGTTGGAGCCTGGCCAAAACTGGCAACTCAGTGAAGGATTTTCCAGCATGTGCAAGGTGAAGAATATGGGATTGTGTTTTGCTTATCTCCTGGATCGATTATCTTTGGAATACCCTGAAATGCGGTTCAGGTTTACTTCACCACACCCAAAGGATTTCCCAGATGAGCTACTGTATTTGATGCGGGATAGGTATAACATCTGCAATCTTATTCACTTACCAGCACAAACAGGCAGTACAGCAGTGCTGGAGCGAATGCGGAGGGGTTACACTCGAGAAGCATACTTAGAACTTGTGCACAAAATTCGTAATGTCATTCCTGATGTTGGGCTAAGCAGTGATTTCATAACCGGTAAGCTTTCTTTTCTCCATAGTCTGCATTGGCTTAACTAGATTAAATTGTTTGTGTTTCCTGATTTTCCATAGTCATGATCTTATGAACAAAGTACTCCCAGAACGAATATTTTTCTTTTTCCTATGGCTGTGTCAAAAAGAGTGAAAATTGACCATATGTCCATATAGACTATAGAGTGGTTCATGTGGTAAGGAGCTATAACAGACCAATTCGAATTTAGAACCAATTTGTATTCACTACTCAACTAGCAAGATAACCTCATAGATGTACTTTATATCTAGTATCAGTGGAAGAACTTATAAAGAAGGATAAAATTGGTATGCTGCGTTGAGGCGATATCTTGATTGAATGTTAAGTTCCTGTTTGACCAATTTGTTTCCATTTTCGTTAAAGTTTCTGATGTTTATGACAATGGTACGCTTTGTTTACAATTTAGAATTAGGTATCATACAGATCATGTCCTGTGTTTGCCTTAATTGAATCTGAATCCTCCATTTATTTCTCCTGCTCTTGCTTAAGACTTATTCGCTTCATAGTTTGAGTAGAATGGCTTATTGATATATGAAAAAAAGTTAACATTTATCTCGTTGTATATATTGAATTATTGATAAGCTAGAATATGACAGTAATTTTACAACTAGTTAGCAAGTAACTTTGAAGATGTGGACAGCTCTTATATCATGATGCTACAAAGCTGTTTCGGCACAGGCCATGGAGTCTTTGCTAGTTCGCTGGTATGAAAGGCAGTTTAAATGAGATTGAGATTACTTGATTTATTAAGTTATAACAGTAGCACTAGCATTTGGTGATATTTATGTAATTATGTCAGATATGTACTTAGGTATCCCAGATTTCTTGAACCATTCATAGTGGCATGCAATTTTTTTAGTTTCATCTTCTATGATCCAACCTGCAGATTTGTCCTTAATACAGTTCATTACATTACTCTGTTTTAATTTGGGATGTATATTTCTGATGTATTGCAGGCTTTTGTGGAGAGACAGACGATGACCATGCTGAAACCCTCAGCCTTGTAAGGGCTGTTGGATATGATATGGCTTACATGTTTGCATATAGCATGAGAGAAAAGGCTCATGCTCACCGGAATTATGAGGATGATGTCCCCGAAGATGTCAAGCAGAGGAGACTCACAGAACTAATCAACACCTTCCGTGAGACCACAAAGAAGAACTACGATTCTCAAATTGGTACAGTGCAGCTTGTTCTTGTCGAGGGACCCAATAAGCGTGCTCCCAAAACGGAGCTGACAGGGAAGACTGATAGGGGGCATAAGGTGTCATTTGCCATTGTCCCTGTACCACACGCTCGAAGGTGAAGAAGCACCTAAGCCAGTGGTTGGTGACTTCGTCGAGGTGAAAATTCTCAGGTCATCGACAGCAACATTATTTGGGGAGCCAATTGCACGCACAAGCTTGAGTCTGTTCCACAAAAATGTTGCATCCGAAGCACAGGCTGTTGCTGCATAAGTAATAGTTACATTTGTAGTAGTTGTGGATTATCTATAGTGATATTTCAAACGACTACAGTTTTGATATAGAGAAGAAACTGAGCATGTGCATGTCAGCCTCATGGTTAAGCGTTGATTGTTTAGTTTTGATAAGGTAGCATGGTGTACTGCTTTTATCAGCGGAAGCCAAAAGAATTTTTAGCATAAAAGTCTGCTGGTCTTGTGAACTACCCCTCTTTTTGAAGGTTGTATTGCCATGTAAAGGTCAAACAATATTGACAGTTTTTGCTTGTTACTATAAACTTCAGCTTGAGATGGCTTTTTACTGCAGGACCCAGATTGACTATCTGCAAATCTGTTACCAGAGGATTCCCAGTTTCTGTTCAATGTTCATGGGGATGTGTATGATAGCACAGTTACACAATCTTGTAGAGTGAATGATTCTCAGACTGGGAAAAGAGAGTAAAATTCAGCTGAGAATATTTACAATTCTGTTGTGCTATAATACAGCTATCTAATCCTGTGCACGTGTTGATGTCCTACGCTGATAAAAGACAATGGAAATAATCTATGATTAAATTTTCTACAACAAAGCTACTCTTTTTGTGAATCTACAAGATGTGCTAATTATGTGAGTGCCAATGGCATCAAGGAATGGAGGACATGCACATCACACTCGAGCCACCACCTGCTGCCGTAGAGGTGTGAGAAGTCTTGCAAGAGGTAGAGGCACATGAGCTTTTACAAATGTCCCATTTTCCTTGTACTCCTGCAGTAAATATTGCAAGAGGAGAGTTATCATTAACTCCAAACAAGAATGCAAAAAATTGTAAATTTTCTATTGAATGGAAGTTTCTCAAGAAATTAATATAGCATGCACTTGAGTATGTCCAGATTTGTAATAAGCAAAAATGTGTGATTGTTTACAAAGAAATTTCTAACTGGTATCAACCCATGCACATGCTTCCATGACTAGACTATCTCTTTGGCAGTAGTTGAATGAATTAACTCATATGTATTTAGCTCAGAACAAAATTACAAAGGCATAAATTTGACGACAGGAAAGAAAAGATCAAAACACCACTGCCAAAGAAATTGCATCTTAAATCAAATAGGACACTCACCATTTTTTCAACCATTCCAACCTTATGTATGTCACTTAGGAGATCTCCTTTGTCATATGGAACAATAGCTTCTATCGGAACCATTGAGTCCTGTAGAAGACAAATATGCATGATTTACGTCATGATTGACAAAACTCCAGATTAGATGCAGATTTTTGAAACTTGTAGGATAAAATAGATGCTTTAAACATCGGTGTTTAATCCCTTCCACAGCTCTAACTAGAAATACTTAGAAATCCCATTCCCCATACCTACCTCATGTGTGGGAGCTTTCAGCACTGAGTATGCCATCCGTGATTGATCCAAAATAAGAAATACCTCAGCTAAATACCCTCTGTGTTTATGATCCTTATATCATTAGGGTTAACATTGCCAGGAAGATAGCTGGGCAAAGTCGATTTTGAGAGAGACTTTGGGGGGAATTGGACAGGCTGTTCTTCATTTCTTGCCCCAGCTAACTGCCATGCCTCTCTTTACATATAGCCAGCCCCTAATAAATCCCAAAACTGTACCTCCTAACAACCTTATCTAATCCTATCTCTTTAACTAAACCTTAGGATTCCTGGCCCGTTGACTGACGCACCATGACATCCATATGCCTACAGCTCCGGCTCCAATAATTTCTGGAGCTAGAAATGACCAGCTCCAAAAATACTTCGATTTGGATTACAGAGGCCCTTTATTCCAAATAAATTAAGTGCACTAGATACCCAAAAAGGCATGTCTGAAAAACAACAACTCTGCCTACAAGGGGGGAACACATACTTTCAACTTTGCTTGAACTGCATTACAGAATTCTTCCAAACCATCACCATTCATGGCTGATATGCAGATTATTCCTTGTTTCTGAGCTTCCTCTTTTACTCTCAATGGTTCATCCGTATTGTCAATCTGCATGACATACAAATTGGGCTCAGTTCCAAGAAGAAAAAAAACACTTGAAGAATCAGCTCCAGTTGGAAATGTATAATTGTGTCTTGCTTGCACTATTATTCCAAATTTCTGACTACGATTATGATTGAATGTGAAGATTAGATAGAACAAATGAGCCAATGCAAATCAAAGTTCCACAGAACCCCGCACCATTTGTATAAATATTATGGATTTACTACTACATTAAAAAAAATTATATGAACATAACCTATTCAGAGTGAGTGACAGACAGAGGTAGAATAAAAATGAGAACCCTTTCACATTCAGCAGCAACTTTTGTTCAAAAGCGCTCCCACACTATTTAATTCACTGTTAGCATAGGCAATTAGTCAATTAGGCATTAATAGTAAATCAAGTATAGAATGACTATGATCAGAAAATCTCATTTCTACTCTCTAAAAATATGAAATAAAGTGAAAACGTTGAAAATTTTACCAAACAGGTCAAATATTTGAGCAAAACGAACCTTATTCCACACAATTAATTTGGGGATTGACTCTACATCCAACTACTTCAATACTCTTTCAACAGCATCTATCTGTTGTTGAGCTAATGGATGGCTGGAACACATGACACAATATTAGTACAGTGCATATAGATGCATTAAATTGAATCCACAACAAAGACAACCCCTAGTATAAGTTCCATACCTAATGTCCACAAGATGAACTATAACTGATGATTCTGATATCTCTTCTAGTGTTGCTCTGAATGCTGCTACCTGGATAGGTATTATCAATAAACGATATATGCAAAGTTGATACCATAAAGATAGGAAAAACTCTCAATATTTACAGTTTTATTCTTCAGGAGCATAACATGTAAACAAGAGGAATATGCTTTGTGGATATGTACCAGCATAGTGGGTAACTTCTGAATGAATCCGACAGTATCAGTTAGAAGGAACTCAGCCCCATTCTTCATCTGCAAAGTAATACACAATTACATTCAGTCATGGTCATATGTAGATATAATGATCGGTAGTTCTTACCCAAAAAAATCCTTCCCAAAGGCATACAAATGATAATAAATAGAGATTATTCATGTCAGTTATCCAATTTACATGACTAAAAAAATCTCTTATTTTCATTTTTTATGGATCATGAGAGTTTTCTGATAACATACCAAGACCCTTCTTGTAGTTGGGTCTAACGTGGCAAATAACTTATCCTCTGCAAGAACATCAGCCCCAGTTAAACGGTTCAGGAGTGTACTTTTTCCAGCATTTGTATACCCTACCTGAAAAATATTTGGAACTAAGTATATTTGTAGAATAGAGAGCATAGGAAACTTTTGGTCACTCTAAGGAAATTTACATGGTTATACCAGAGAAACAACAGGAATAGGAACTGATTGGCGACGGTTGCGGTACAGCTTTCGGTGTTTCCGAACAGATTCCAATTCTTTCCTCAAGGCACTTATCTGTCAAAGACACTTATGTTTGAGATCCACACGTTCCAAAAAAAAAGTTCAGCACTACAAATTCAGCAATGTACAATATGACAAGAAAAATACATAACTCCTATAAATGAATTATCAATAGGAGTTTGTCATATTATTAGGAAATGTCTGCCAGCCATCTACTTTTTATTCCACAGTCATTAGACACAGAGTGCCCTGCCATTGACCAATAGTGGTAGCTAATAACACAGTCCTGTGTGTATTTATTGAGCAAAAAAAAAAACTTCCAGAAAGAATATTACTTGAGTTCTTAAGATGCGCTTGTCAACTTCAATTTGCTTCTCACCCATACCCTTAACTTGACCTCCAGCCTGCCGTTCAAGGTGACTCCACATTTTTGTCAACCTAGGAAGTTGATATTCCATCTGTGCCAAGGTGACCTAAAAAGGAAAACAGAATTGCAGACAACAAACATGTTCATTCTACTTAAAACTGCAAACTTAATGTCAATAAATGATACCACGAGATACTACTGTTAATAAAGCTACTGTGTGTGATTTTTACCTGTAAAGCAGCTTCATGTGTTGCTGCCCTTTGATTAAAAATATCAAGAATAAGAGCAATTCGGTCACAGACTTGGACACTCCCACCAAATGACTTTTCCAAGTTACGTAGTTGTCTGAAATCATTATTGGGAATATCATCTATCAGAGCAACTATTAGGCCAATCTGAGGTGGTTAGCAGTTTAATAAAATATGATTAGGAAGCAGGTGAAAACATTGTATGCTCGACACAAGTACATGGTGTCAAAATCATAAGATAAATTCTCCAAATATATCCTGGTTAGGTATAGAGGAAAAATGAAAAAAATTGATTATACTGGCATCCATTTATGAGACTGAAAAATTACATTCTTTCAGGTACTCTCAGAACTAATGATAACAGGTATTGTGATAAGCTCGGCAAGGATGATATGCGGTGGGCACCGTTGATTTGTGAGCTACCTCTCTGTGTAAGTGGGTTGCCACGGGTTAAGTCGGCTGGACTATTGTGTTATGGTTATGTGGGTTCTTTCTGTGTGTTAATCTGTGCGTATGTAAGGTTTTCAGGCCTGGTTTCCCTTATAAACTAGGCTAATTCTATTCTTCTTAATTGAAAGGCAGAGCTCCTGCCATTATTTCAAAAAAAAGTAACCAATATTTTGACCATAATAGTTAACGATCAGCTCAAGGTAAAGATCATACAGTTAGGTTCATTTGATGGTTCTGAGATATGAAAAACAAGGAAAACAGATCGAATCACATAACAGAGTAATAAGTGAGAATCTTACCCAGGGGATAACTCATCATCGAAAATTACAGTCTCAACATCAAGGGCTTGAATTGCACTCCTGATTTCAGAAACCTTGCCTGAACCAATGTAAGTCCTTGGATTTGGGGCAGAAAGCCTATTGGAAAATAGAAAGCATGAGAACCACTGTACTTTGTAGAAATAAGAAAAGGCAAGGCATGCGGTTTGTATGTCATGCCATAGCTTTACAATCTTATGTAAAGTACATAACACTACATGTTATGCAGAAAATTAAGAGGGAAGTTTGAGCTAAATTTATGCCAAATTGTGGCAGTGCCACCGCATACATTTTGAAATTTGAAATAACAGTAGTGTTTCATCTATCGGAGTTGACCGTGAAGTTCCTGTGGACCATGCAATAGATTGACCAGGCATCTCAGTTTTTCCAGGGTGACCCAATGGTCCATCTTTATCTATCGTGAGAACATATAACCACCGTTGCCAGTGGAGCACAGCGCAGGCTCAGTAGAGATGTTCCAGGCAAACAGAAGCTTACTTCTGATAGGTTGAGCCGACCACCACAAGGCCCGCGGTATCAGCCAACTGCTCCAGCTCCTTAAGAGACACCTCTATGCCGAAGAGGTTCCCTCCTGTCCGTTTGCACTCAACACCAACCAGATAAGCCTTCTCTTGAAATATCTGCAGGTAGCCATGTCCACAGGTTCAGAAATCAGACATGCTGAAAGCCTGAAATTGCCAGGTAACACAATTCCACAGCTCCAATGTTCATGTCACGGATCAAAATATCTAGAGGAGAGATAACAATCAAAAGTTCTCTCCGGTGAATTTGATGGATCATTGCAGATTATCAGATTTTGCACACGCAGCAGTCAGTAGAAAACCGCTCAATCTGTCAATCAGGCCGTCCAATCCACAAAAAGCAAAGCAGCTACCTCTTTGCCGTTGATGAGCTTGAACCTGTCTTGCCCCGCCGCGGCCTCCTCCTCTTCCTGCCGCTGCCGCCTGCTCTTCACGAAAGCCCTCGGCGGCGGCCGCTGCTCCAGCTCCAGCTCCTCATCCACCTCCTCTGCTCCAACTTCATCACCCTCAGCGACCCCGCCTCCACCCCCTAGATCAACACCGGTTTCAACCTCTTCGGTCTCCGCCGGCGCGGCCTCGAGCAGCCGCTCGTCGAGTGCCCGGACCGGCCCACGGCGGCGAGTCGGGGAGCAGGGGAGGAGGGTGGTGCGGCTCCGAAGGCAGTGTCGTCCCGCGGAGGCGGGTGCGGAGGTCGATGGGTGGGATAGGGAGACGGCGGCGGCGAACAGGCAGGCGGCGGCGCTCATGGCGCGGCGGGCGGAGAGCGAGTGAAGTGAAGGCTTCTGGGTGGTTTTGGGGAGCACCAACGACCGAGTGGATAGGCGAGGGAGGCGATGACGTCGACGGTCTACTGGTCCCTTCTGTTGATGCTGTGGGACCGGTGTATTTGACACGCAAGCCGCTTGGCGCGACGTGACGTGGCATCAACATCTTCCCTGGTTGCTGTCGGTAAATCTCGTTCATCGGGATTTTATTGGTGGGTCCGGAAAGGAAAGACTTAACGAAGCTTTGGGCAAACTTTAGCAAAACCCCATAATTATCTGCCAAATTTAGGAAACCTTCGTGATCTTTATATGTCTACATTCACGGTTTGGTTTCGGTTGTGAAACTTCAAGCTTATTTAAAGTTTTGTTAGTGAAATCAAAGATCCTAGAGCTCCCGTGGCAAACGAGAACAGTAAAAATCGACTACTCTAGTTATGATTGGTATTGACTATTCCTCTCCACCCTCCTTCCACGGCGAGCTTCAGTCATAGACGCCCTCGTCCTGACGTGACCTGACTACCTCTGCCACCGTTAGGACCCTAAGAGCCTGTTCGTTTGGAGGAATTTGGATGGTTTAGAGGAATGCTGAAGGAATTTGTGAGAGAAAAACACTGTTCCGGATGAAAAAAGAAGCGGATCAAGCCGGGTTTAAGGGCACGCGAACGGGGCCTAAGCCGTCCTCCCGCCACCCCCACCGCCATGTCGGTCTGCCTCCCCCGAGCCCTTGTCTTCTAAGCCCACCAAAGTTGGGAAAGAAGAGAGGGAGAGTCGGAGAGAGAGGGTGCCACCACCGCCGCCGGAACCCTAACGCCGCCACCATCTTCTACTTTGTCTCTGGCGTGGTTGGGTGCAGCATGTGGGAGGAAGAGCGTGGGGAGGCGGATGACTGATGGAAAAACAAGATTTCATATGACTGCAAAGGAGCAATTCTGATAAAAATTAGAGTAAAGCATATTTTTCAACCTTCAAATTACGTGTCAATCTGAATTCGGCAATGCTAGCGCCCGTGCGTCTGGACGCCCGCGCCTGCACTCCGTTTCATGCGCCCACGTGGGGGCTCACGCCGTACGAACGTCGCCCACACCTCCTAACCCCACGTGGAGACCGCTCGTGCCCCCTCTCCTTCCCCTACTCGGACGTCTGCTGCGGCAGATGGGTCCCCAACAGCAGCACCCGATCTGTTTTTGAAATATCCAGATAAAACACTTGCAACATACGTGTGAAGACAGATGAAACACTTAAAACATGCGTTTGAAACACTTGAAACATACGTCGGAAACACTTGCAAAAACACCTGAAATTCTTGAAAAATCATTGAAAAACTTATGCAACATCCAGATAAAAACATTTTTGCAACGTATGTGTGAAACATATGCAATATCCATATAAACACATTTGTAACATACGTTTAAAAAATAGATGAAACATTTGGAACAGATGCTTGCAACATACGTGTACAACCATTGCAACATATGAAATATCCTGATCTACTTTTGCAACATCCATATAAAACACTTGCAACATACCTCTGAAACATCTGATATACTCGAAACATACTCTTGCAACATTCGCTTTCAAACACAACATCTACTTGCTGCTTGGACGAATGGAGGCTCGGTGTAGGGCCGGCCACGCATACCAGCACCATGCCAGAGGCACGGCCAGGGCGATGTGCCGGCAGATATCCACCCTAGCGAACACGTGCAACAGATGGAGGGAGGCAAGGCGGACGCGGAGGTAGCATGGCTGGCTGGGTGGAAGGCCACCAGGGACGGCTCACCACGGTTACTGTCCTATGGCCACGACGAGCAGGAAAAAGGGGCGGCGGGGGATTTGCTCGGTGAGCATGCATAGGGGGAACTACGAGCCTAAGGCGGCGTTGTGGAGCTTGGAGTGGGTCACGAGAGGGCTAGAAGGAAAGGAAGCAACGACGACTAGGGAGCTTCGGGAGAAGGGAGAGTGTGAGAGAGAAAGAGGGGGGTAGGTATATTGGGCTCCGCAGGCCCAGGAAGGCTGGCGTTTGTGGTAGGGCGCGGTGGAGAGGGTGGCCGGCGTCGGGCGACGAGCAGGAAGTCGGAACGAGCGATGCCAGGTGAATGAGAGAGAGAGAGAGAGAGAGAGAGAGGAAAGCGGACGAGTGATACGGATATTTTAGAGAGAAGCAGGCATTGTACGTTCCATGGGTAGAGGGATGTGAGGGATGTTAGGCTGCCACATTGCCAACAAAAATCAATGACTTTTTCCTCAAAGGATTGACTTTGGCCACACCGTCTTGATCAAAAAGCTTGGGTTACACTACCTTCTTTGTATACTGGAATATCAATACTGATCTGACTTTCAACTATTATCTGACGGACACCTTCACCATCGAAATATGACAAATTTAGTCTTGTAGATAATTTTATATATGTTTTTTCTAATCTCTAAAAATATTAAAAATACGACGTGATCCCTTAAAATTCATAATTATTTTAAATCAGAAAAATATGAAACTAGTACTATTTTATTAAAAAAAGTATTATCTACCTATTTAAGATCTATATATAGTTATTCAGAATCGTTTTATGTATGCTCATATTTTTTATTGCTTGTAGATACGCTTATCATTTATTTAAACAAGTAAAATCCAAATAACTCTATACATAGTACCCAAAAAAAAGATATCTTTTTTAGCATAAAAGTAGAAAAACTTTTAACTTTTTTATTAAAAATAAATTAATTATGGGTTTCTAGAGATGAAACCAGATTTTTATTATTTTTAGAAAATAAAAATCATCTATAATATCAGCTACATAACTAAATTTGTTCGATAGTTAGAGGATGTCTATTATCCGGTTCTATAGTTTATTAAGATAGAAAATTGGACTGGCATTTCACTTAGATGTTGAAAAATGTATTTTACCTTAAAAATTATTAATATACCAACCTAAGGCGGTGCTTCGTTAGGGCCATAGGGCTATGTATAATAATAGAGAGTTTTATCTGTATACCATTAAAAAAGATGACCCTTTCCTACAAGCCATTAAAAAGTTTGGGAGCACCTAGGTGCCATGACACTTTATTTCCTTGCCTCCCAAGTCATTCCGTCCACTTTCGCTGGTAACGGTGTGTAACGGCGAGGACAAAAGACCGAAGTGTCCTCAGGCCAGACAGGCTGAATGAAATCGCCGTTTGCATGTGTGCCACTCCCTGACCAGGCGTTTGGGCGCCAAGATGGCTCATGTGGGCAAGTTTTTTGGCTCCAAAGTCACTAGGGTTGGCGCCAAAGTGACCCTCTGGCTTGGTGCTATAAATAGAACCTCAGCCTTCTCTTCCCACTCAACTTTCTATATTTGTGTGTCTCCTTCTACCTTGCTGCCATTGCCATGTCTCAAGCTTCAAGCAGCTATGGGTGGAGGCCAAGGCGGGTCATGTGCCCCAACTGTGGTGTGCTAGCTAATCGTTCATATCGATGACTAGGAAAAACAACAACCGTGTCTTCCACAAGTGCTCATACTTTGTAGTTCGTTTTTGCTTCCTTGCTCATTCATTCATAAGCTCTTCTTTGTTTGCTGTTTGGTGCTAATCTTTCGATGTTGTTGTTTATAGGCTGGAGGGTGTCAGTTTTATCAGTGGGAGGATAAAATGGAGGACACTGTTGTGCAGCCACCTATAGCACCTGCTCCATTATAGGCCATTACTCTATAGGCAGTGGAAGCACCTGCTCCTATCTCTACAGCAGCTCCTCTGGCCATCATCCAGGAAGATTCCCAGTCGGCTAGAGTTGTAGGCAATGCAGTAGTGGAAGATAGGGTTCTTCAGCAGCTTAGGTGAATTGAAAAGCTGGTGTTTATTTGCATCTTTCTTGCTTTGTATGCTATCATGAAGAAGTAAGGGCCTATGTATGCAGACTGTGTATGTGTGTGTGTTTGAATGAAGACTAGTGATGCATGAATGAATGAATGGTTTTCATCACATAGCAGCTTATGAATGAATGATAACAAAATATGTGAACTCTAACATCTCATAAAAATATAACAGCTCATAACATTGTAACATGACACAGAAAATAGAGCCAGACTTAACCAATAGAGTTTGATCACATAGTTCTCATTACAGAGTTTCATCTCACCAACTAAGGTACTAGTTTGGTTCCAGAAGATATTATAGACCAACATATTAAAATGACTAATAGTAGGTCATCAGAGTTTCATCTCACATAGTTCTAGACTTAAGCAACAGTAGTTCATCACAGCTACTAGTCATGCCAAAATAAAATGATGCCAGAAGACATAGCAAAGCAACAGTAGTTTTGCAGCACTACATCACCAAAATAACAACCAAACACAGTTGGCTTTCATTCCATCACTACCTTCTTCTTGCTCCTGGTATTTGAAGCTAGGCTGGCTAGGCATGCTGGTATAATTGGAAGCTTCTTTGGTGTAAGCTTCTTCTTCAACCCTATCTTCTTCCTTGGGGAAGGCTGGGGCAAAACAACTTTTAGTGGTTCTGTCTGCATAGTAGCAGCTGAGTGTTCATGAAAAGGGGCAAGATGCACAGCCTGGAGGGGGACAGGGTCATTGGAACCAGTTCCATACCTATTACAGTCAAGTAGCAGTCAAAGTCAAGTATCCGTTTCATTAAAATGGGGAAATACAAAATTGGAGTAAAGCATACCTATTAGACTGGGAATTAGGATTACTTGTTGACATACTAGTTGCTGGCCCCTTGCTTTTCTTGATACTTGATGAAGAAGATGATTCTCTTTCTCTTTTGGTGTGTTGGTCTACTGCAAGATATGGTCTACAACCTCTAATAAAGCCATCAACACAAGGTTTCAGTGCAAAAAAGAGCCTATTAAACCTTATCTTGTTGTTGATGGTGTGGTGATCAATAACAACAAAAGAACTTGGACTGGTTTCCTCTATCTAGGCCTTAAATCTTAATAGGTTATCAAAACTTTTGTCCTATGGCCCATAAATCTTATCCATGGCAAGTAGTCTACCTTTGTACACTCTCCTGTAGGGCACCACAATCTTGTGCTCATCCTTCAACCTCCTAACCAGTTTAGTGGCACCCACAGTTGCATCTTCCTTGAGCCAATCAAGCACTTGATGACAGACTCAGAACTGTGTCACCCCTACACAGATTCCAGACCTCCTGGTGCTCTGGCACCAATAAAGATATAGGTTCCTCTTCACCTGCAAAACAAATGAACATTCCAGATATTATATCCACAAACAAATTACTACATGCATTTAGAATAAGTACTAACACAAGAGATCTCCTAACATAATACCTTAACAGTTACACCATCCTTCAGAGTAGAGGCATGGATTCTCCACCTGCAGCCCTCATTCTTGGCAGAGCAGCTTGCCCTATACCTTCCTGTATCACTTGCCTCAATGTTATAATGGAACTCATGTTTCACAGAATGAGTAGCTAAAGCCAGCTTAAAAGTAGGAATGTCTGAATACACAATGCCTACAGCCATAGGAGGGTTTTTCTTGTCATAATCAGCATCAGGCATTTGTTCAGGTTCTTTATCTTTAATAATGTCATCTAAATCCTCTACTTTACTATCATCATCATCATCAGACAAGGATTCATCACGAGAGTCATCATTGTCTGTTTCAGAACATGCCTCACCATTAGAACTTTTAGGCTACCTCTGCTTACTGCCAACTTGAATGTGGGGATTGGTAGGTTGGGGATATTAGGGACCAAGGTCAATATACAACCCTTTCTCATCAACACCCACATGCTCATTGGATGGATTTGGGGTTAGCCAGATATTCAGATTCTACACATTCAGTCTAGGTGGCATTGCTTGGTTCTGCTCTGCTAGGACAGTGGACTGAAGGGGTGAATGGGGCTTCAACAGAGTTGGCAGGGGGGCTAAAATCCCAATCAGGAATATGAGGCTCACTAGTTGGCCTATTATAGGCAACAGTCAAGAAGCAGCACTTCGAAGCCTTATTTTTAGCAAATATTTCACGCATATCTTGGTCAGACCTTACTTCAACATTGAGCTTACTGTTGTTGCAGAAATAAAACAATCGAGCTACATCACCGAAATCGGAAGAATACTTGTCAACAACATCACGAACCAGATCTCTGAAGTTAGTCAGTTCAGCATCCACAACTTTGTTCAACAAAAACCACTGAGCACGCGAATTGGGAGTAACAATCTGGATTTCTAGGTTGAAGCTACTGTCTGCGTCCATCCTACATATGACCAACAAGGAGAACGCAATCAAGGAGAACGCAATCAAGGGAGAACAAGACCACATTCAACAAGACAGACCCTAAGTACCCCCATTCACGACTACCAGACCTATGTATCCATACCAAGGAGCAGGCAATCCAAGGGGAACTGCACTCACCCGACAGGTAGCAAGTCCGGTCGCTCGCCCGCACCCTTCTTCGCCGCCATACGAGGCCAAACCTCTGGATCCATGGTGAAATCCAAGCTCCACTACCCCATGCGACGCCAGAAGCACGGGGGATTGCTCTTCTTGTCTCCCCGCCGCCGCTAGGGTTCCGCTTCCGTCGCCGCCGCCGCTAGGGTTCCACTTCCACCGCCGCTTCGGATCCGCCTCCGCTAGGGTTTGGGGAAGAGAACGAGAGAGAAGTGAGAGTGAGAATGCGATGGCGGTCAATGTCGGTCAACACGGACTCCTCATATGCCCCTCTGTCTCAAAGGGTAACATGGATAATTTTCCTGTCCGGTCCCACCAGTTAGGGCTGTCAAACAGTCCACACCAAACAGAAGTTGGATGGAATAGCTTGGGAGGCAAAGAAATAAAGCTTGGGAGGCAACTTAATGGTATATAGGTAAAACTCTCATAATAATATACATACAACCTTTGTTTTGGTAATTAACATATACAACTTTGACATTGTTGCAATTGAAAGACACATGTTTGTTTTTCTTTTTGCAAAAATTCTACAACTAGCGTGGTTACAATGCAAACGCATAGCCCTTCGAACATGTTGCCGTGCACTAGATTTCCATGGCCAACATTTGATATGACTAATTGCGTCACAATCCAAATAAACCCGTTTTGTCCCCCCCCCAAATAATCTAATTGTCATTGCAAAATCTGTTCTTCAGAAGGTTTTAGTTAAGTTTTGTTCTTCCATTTCATTTTGCACGGCACAAAATCAGAGTACCATCCAAAACAAAACTCAGAGAAAAGCAAGTTAAGGCAGCTCTTGAAGAACTCAACACAGAAGTGCAGCGAGTGATAACAGTTCGGACTTCAGATAAATAGTACTGCCTTCACCACCAACAAACCCTCGTTTTCGTCTGTACAAGTTACATCTCCAACACTCAATCTTTCTTACCACTCCCCATAATAAATTAAAGAAACAAGCAGCACTGCACAGTGACAATGTGCAGGCCATCCATCCTCAACAGCAACTTAAATAAGATTAGCATAAATAACCAAACAAACAAACAATAAACACCACCACCTCTGTCTGACTGACTGACCGACCGGCTTCAATTCACTCCTGTGGCAGCAGATCGAGCCCCTGTTCGTTCGTCGTCACCATAACTTATTGTTATCTACACCAAATCCACAAGCCGTCAAAGCACTCTCATAACTTAGAAGAAAAATCTGCACGCCATCGCCATCATCTTGCATTGCACGGCTAGTGCACGGCGATGTTGATGGCGCCCTCGCCGGCGATCTTGTGGGCGCGGTGCTTCGGCTGCTGCTTCTTGGGCCCGGCCGGCTTGGCGGCGTTGGTGGCCTGCTGCGCCTTGCTTCTGCCGCCGCTGCAGTTGCAGTTGCTGTCGAGGCCGTCGCGGCTGGCGCGGCAGCACGGCCTCGTGGTGCCCTCGCTCTCCGACGAGGAGTTGGACGTCTCCATGGAGGTCGCCGTCGTCGTCGTCTTCCTCCTGCCCAGCTTCGGCGACTTGGGCCGGGTCGTGGGCAGCTTCTTGAATTCGGCCTTCGGGGACGGCGTCGCCTCGTGGTAGAAGCTTGGCATGGGGTTGGCCTTGAAGGTCAGGCTCTTCCGAAGCTGCTTCAGAGCCTCCTCCTGCTCTTTCTGCAGATTCACAAATGCATGAAGAAACAATCAAGACTCGATCGGCTCTGAAGATTGTTCAGCGGTCAGCATATGCATCCAACTCATTTTCAGTAGAGAGCAGTTCCGACTAAACGAACAGTAGAGTTGTATCAAGTGCCCAAGCAGAACAGGAACATAACAAGGTTCAGGTTAACTGAACTTAATTTATTCATGACTGAATCATGATCGAAAGTAATGGATCAACTTCAACTACGCCTAGATGAGCATCAAAGTTGAGGTCAACTAAACAATCCGAACATATCAGAAGGGGATCAGAGACACAGGATGCAACTCGAGAGAAATGACAGCCAGATAAATTACCTTCAACTTAGCCTCCAACTGAATCTTCTCTTCCTCCATAGCTTGATGCTTCACCTCCAACTTCATATAAAACTGCAACCAAAGCATGAAAACGACAATTATAAGCACACTCTCCCTTTACCAAGATTCACATTTTTTTTAATATAGAAAAGAAAAGAGTTATGGAATACATACATCTCTGCGTTTTTCAGCACGTTCAGTACAACGGAAAACTGGGCCTGATGGAACCGTGGCCTTTCCAACTGATGATTTCACATCATCCTGATTACCTCTGTTAGTAGATTGTAGTGGCTTCCGTGTAGTTGCAGTTGGAGTTTTCTGTAAGAAAAAGAAAAGGTAGAGAATTTCAAAACTACTATGGAAGACATTAGTGTGATTCTGCTAGATAATTAATGAATCATACATGAAAAAAATGGTTAAAGGAATGAAAATACTAACCTTCTTCGTCGAAGTCAACACCCTCTTTGCACTTTGGAATACGTTGCTATTTCGATTGGAGGACTTGCCATTTGATGGGTAAGGAGTGTGGTTGCTCATATCTTCAGGCTCTGATGGGAGATCATTATTCGGTTCCAGCGCATCTTCCATCGATGTAATTGAGGTGCCATCACTCATTGTTGTTTCTTCCATTGGAATCTTCTCCTGGTTCTCTTGTTTATCAGCACTATTTTCAACATTAACAAGAGAGCCTTCATCTCCAGCACACTCTGAATTCATAGAGCCACTGTCAGTACTCAGTACATTGCACATCAAACTCAATACTAGGAAAACGACCAAATTCAACAGCTAAATGTTCACTGAAATTGATACAAGCATCAACCACTGAACCACAACAAACTTACCATCATCGGTCTGCTCAGAACTTTCGATGCCTGAATAACCTTCATTTCCAGTAGCTCCCTTTACTACAGAAGATCCCAAATGTTCAGAGCTGCCATTGTCAGATTGCTCAGCATCAACAGCGCTGGGCAGGCCCGAGTTTGATGGATCAGCACACTTCTTATAAGACACATCCATGGTATCACTAACGGCAGAATCAAGGTCCTGTATAGAAGACTGAAGTAAAATTTTAGCATCAATAGTATGTTCATGCTGATTCCCAGAAAGTAATACTACTGCAATAAGCACTTATCGATAACGTCGAAAGTAGCCTCTGCAATTTTAAACGTCACAACAAACTGGAACCATTTGTCCCGGACATGCAAACTGGCAAAACTTGTGACCACAGGGAAACAGGATGTTCCATCTTCCGAAGAATCAACATGGAAAGGCCAACTGTGGGAAATGTTATATATCCATCATGTGGAAAATGATTTCCTCACTAGCTACCAACCAGGAAAATGACATGGCAGTGGTGGATAGAATGAGTCATGTACTTTGACAAGCTATCTGCCAGCATGACTGTCGACAATGATCAAGGGAATTAATTGTTTACTTGAGATCCTGTATGTCGGTATGGCATGGCGTTATCTGTTACGGACTTATTTGATGGTATTAGTATAGAACTGGCTGCATCATATATTCCATAATAAGAGGATAAAACAAGTACTACTAAAAGAGAAGACGAGGGAACAAAGGCAACAAACAAAACATTTGTATATGAACAAATTGAACTGTGCCTGGCGCAGACTGAATAATTGAAGGAATCAGAAAACTATTACTATCAAACATGTGAAGATTTAGTTGGACTACTATAAGGTGGGACGACGAAAAGATTATTTGGTACGCCAGCGTTTTAAAGTGTTCTATTGTACTTTAGAACTCCAAAAAGAGAATGGTTCTCACCTCTAAGCGGTACTACTGCTTGTTTATTATTTTAATTAGGATTTGCTATGATCCAATCCAGTTAAAGTTACAAAAAAAAAAACTGTATTGAGGAGTTTGTTGGGAACGGATCTGATCCGGAAAGGGGACATGATAACAACTTCCTTAAAATCCCTTTTTATTAGATCAGTCGAAAGAATTTGGCTTCCCAAAAGGAAGTTAGCTTTGGGCTTGTCTCTAATAATATTATACATTATCATATCTACTAGACACCTGACAACTTGGAGGGCAGGGCCATCCTGCTGATAGGCATACCTGAACTGAACATGTATTCGCAACGACAAACTAGAAAAGACATGTCCACACTAGTTTATTGCACAGTTAATATTTTAGTAACAATGGGTCAACGAGTAATCAGAGACACTGCCAACCATATATGCCAACCCAAAGCTGATCCCTTTGTGCGTAATCTCCTAACAAGTTTCCCGAACTAGTGCGAGATGCATGTCCTTTTGTGACGGTGACAGTGACACCGGGATCAGACGACTGAAATCCCATCCCATCTGTGTGTGAGAAGGCGGCACCAAGGCAACTAAAATCGTGTGCCACATAACAGCATGAGGAAAGAAGAAGAGAGCTGAGGATGCATATCAAGTTGGTGGTGGTGTTATGGGTTGTAACTGTTGTTTTCTTGTTTCTTTTTTTCCTGTATTATTACACCATATCTGTTAATTGAGGCCGGCGTCTCTTGAAAATGGGGGAAAAAAAACTCTCTTCTTTTTCCCCTCGAACAGAAGTTAGATGCACGGATGGAATTAATCTAGTAAAGCGTTCTTCTTTGAACCCCTCTGTTTCACGTGAGATGCAGGGGATGCAAATGCAGAGACCTACCTGACGCACATCCTGCAGTTCCCACAAGGTAAATTCCGGAATGCAGGCGCAGATTCAGAGCCCAAATATATATACACTCGTATATAGTTGCTAAAATTCCCAGAACCGGCAACGATGCTACCCGGCCTATCCCTTTGGGAATGGGAAAAAAAAAACGAAATGCTGCAGTGCAGGATTCAGGAAGCAAAAGGCTATGCGCGTGCAGGCAGGCAGATCGCGTGCATGGTCGCTGAAGCATTATTCAGGAGCAGGAAACAACGGCCGGTGCGAATAATGGAGCGAGGGAAGAAGCAGGCGAATTACCTGGCTTCGCGCGGCGTGCCCGGGTCCGGCGGCCTCCAGTGCTACGACGCAACGCAGACGTCGGTGCTGGTGTGGTGGCTTCGATCGGGACGACGGGGCGGGGCGGCGGGGCGTCACTGTGGTGGTGGTGGAGGTATTTGTAAGAGGAGGAGGAGCAGGAGTAGGCGGGCGGCGAAGGAGGAGGGGCAGGGAGAAGGTGGCGGTGGTGAGGTGGTGGGTTCGTTGATTTGAACGGGGTTCGCTCGGCGGTAGCTTTCTTTTCCTGCTCCGCCGTGGCCGTCCCGGTTTCCTTTTTTCGCATGGGTCCCCCTCGGCCGGCCTTTCGTTTCCGTGGCGGTGCGCGGTACGGACCACGGTTGGTTCGAACGTGTTGGGCGCCAGCGCCACGCACGGCGCACCGTCCTCCCTTCTCCTGTTGTTTCCTCCTCGCTTCCTGGCGGTTGCTTGCATTGCTTCATCCTCCTGGCAGCCAGATGATTTTCTCTTTTTTTCCCCCCTCTTTTTTCTTTCTTTCTTGTACAGTGCTAGTGATTTTTAAGAGAGAGGATTATGGATGGGCCTTATGCAGGCTTCCATGTTCCATCCGGCTGTTGATCAATACCGCTACTCATTGTTTCTCCATCGTTCTCGCACGGATTATCTATGTTGACGCTGTGCGAGGGAGGATTTGAAATCCCACGAGTACAAAACTTATATTCCTTTTGTTCGAAATGGACTTGAGATTGTGGATGTCATGCTACGATTGAAGAACCGGTGTGTGTGTGAGAGAGAGAGAGAGAAGAGAGAGCATAGTACTATATCAGAGAAAAAAGCAGCTTGCACCCTCATTTTTAGTTGCTACAATTAGTTGGCGCGCATTGTTGACAGTTAACTCCTAATCTTCTCCATTAGGAGCAAGTTAAGCCTTGCTCACACCCGAGTGGATGTCGTGTAGGTTTTTCAGCCTTGTCGCGTACTCTGTTTCGAGATGTAAGACTAATTATTCTTTACTCAGTGATGGAGATTATTGCGAGAGTTTAGCTTATTAATGAAATTTCATTGCGGTGGGACAGAGTGATTCATAGTTAGGTTCTCGCAGTCCTCATACAAGTATCCTTTTATTTCAAATCAAAAGGAGAAAACCAAAACAACTCAGTAGGAGTAAAGCTCCTTTGGGTTGGGCGACACACCGTTGTCGCCAAAAGGCCCCTCCCTCAGGCAACCCCTCTTGCCGCTGTTGTTGCTTGCTTCGTGGTGGTTGCTTGGATTGCTTCATCCTCCTCGCAGAGGCTTTTCGTTTCTCCTTCTTTCCTGTACAGTAGTAATTTTGAAGAGATAGGATTATGGATGGATTGCTAAAAAAATTATGGATGGGACCTTCATACTTTCATTTGGCGGTTGATCAACAGATCTCTACTGCTACTCATCGTTTCTCTAGTATTCTTACACAAATTATCTATGCTGACACTAGGTGAGGAGGGTTTGGAATTCCACAAGTACAAAATTATATTCCTTCGTTCGAAATGGACATGAGATTGTGTATGTCATGCTATGATGCTAGGATTGAACAATGGTGTGTGTGAGAGAGCATGGTACGACAGAAAAAAGCAGCTGGCACCAAATTTTTAGTTGATTCATGGCGGCAGATTAGTTGGCGGGCATTTTTGACAACTAATTCCTAATCTTCTCCGTCAGGAGCAAGTTAAACCTTGCTTACGCTTGAGTGGATGTCGTGGAGGTTTTTCTGCCTTGTTACGTACTCTAGTTTGAGATCCAAGACCGATCATTCTTACTCAGTGATAGAGATCATTGGGAGAGTTTTGCTTACTAATGAATTTTCATTGTAGTGGGACAGGGACGATTCATAGTTAGATTCTCATTGTCCTCTTGCAGGTATCTTTTTACTTCAAATCAAAAGGAGAAAAACAAAAACAACTCTCCACCATATATCCTATAAATATCTTATTAGGAGCATGAAGAGTTCCGCATAGAAAGAAATTCCAATATTGACATTAAATAGTTTTACATCATTGCAAGGTACGTGATGGCAGGATTTGAGAGCTAATGCAGCTATTTCCAGTAACAGAAATAAAACTCCAACAATTTGTTCATATACTTTCATATCATCACTACTGTATATAAGGTATGTGATATGGTCTGATTTGAGTGCTGATATATATCTCCATGGTAACAGGACACCTAATTAGTTGTGGCCTATTGTCCCAGAGAAATTAGTTGGAAGTTGATGATTAGTTGGTTGATGGCACAGTACTGTAGGTTGGTTTGATTGACTACAGTTAAGCCTTGACTACGCCTGAAATTAAATTGGCTGCGCTGGAATGAAGATCAACTATTTTGGTCCTTGTGGAACTTAGTGGTCCTATTTTGTTTTTGGATCGAAGCTAGTACAAATAGTAGGTTTGAACTTTATTCAAAGGCTACAGTTACATGGATTGGATTAGTTCAGGTGGTTCCGTTCGCATCGCTGAAAAAACAAGCCGAAACACTGTTCCGACTGAAAAAACAAGCTGAAAAAGACGGATTATAAGGAAGCGAACAGGTCTTGAAAAAACAAGCTGAAAAAACACTATTACATGGATAGGATGGAGTTGTCTACTTCTCTTAATCTCTTCCATCCTAAGTTAACATAAGTGATCCAAACCAAAGAGTTGTTCAAGCTACTACTGGTGCACCTTGAGGAACCTAGATATAATTGCAAACGTCCTTGCAGGGCTCCTCACAGTTTTTTGTTATAAATTTATAGAAATTATTTAGATGAAATACTGCACTAGCACCTACTCCTTTCGTCCTAAAATAAGTGCTACTTTGGATCCTGACTAGATTTATAGAAAATATTAGTAATATTTTTATCTTCAAATAAGTTTATTATAAAAATATATTCAATAATTAATATAATGATATTTATTACGGATCATAAATATTAATACTTTCTTGTATATATTTGGTCAAAGTTAGAAGGATTTGACTTCTCGAGAAGTCAGAACGACACTTATTTTGGTATGGGGGGAGTAGCCACTACCGGAAACAGGATCTTCGCCGTGTGTCCATGGCACACGGCG